CCAGTGTAGAATGTGGGGCAGCCCAGAGCACTGTCCACCCTCAGAACACGGAAGGGCCTGGACTTTAGAGTCACACCAGCTGGCCTTCTAGAGATGAATGGTCATCTCTATAGGGCCAGGAGAGAGCCCTCGGTGGGGAGATGGAGAGGCTGACAGCATCTGGGCTCTACCGGAGATGCTGGTGTGTCTCACTCAGAACCAGGGTTTCCAGCTCCACATCCTCGCCTGCCCATGAATTTTGAAACTTGAGTGGAGCTGGCCTGCCCGCGGCATCCTGCCACTTCTCACATCCAAGTGTCACTTCACAGGAAGACATTGTTCAGGACCACAGGGATGGGAAGAGCAGGAAGGGGTTTGAAGAGGCCTCTGTCAAGATGTAGGGAGTGGGAACTCAGATCTGATAAACAGGGAAAAGGACTCGGATTCACTCCTTGGCCTCCTGGAAGGCAGCGTCTGAGGAGCTCAGTGCCAGAGGAAGGCTTCTGGCCGCTCCTCCAGGACTTAGCCTCCCCCATCTCCAAGCCCTGACCTTTAACATTCGACATCTTCAGGCCAAAGCAGGGCTCAAGCTATGGACAGGAAGGCTAAAGCCAGGGCTACTCTCCTCCTCCTCCATCGCTAGCCACTGTCTAGCCTGCCTGACACTCCCCTGGACCTCTCATGTCCTCAGGGAAGCCAGAATTGGAAGCCAGATCAGTTTCAAAGCTTCTGCTATGGACTCTGTCAGGGACTTGAGAAGCTACTTTTCCTCTCCACACTGAAGCACCCCAAGGACCTAAGTGCTAAAGATGACCTAGAGGTCAGAAAACCACTGTCATCACCACCATACCTACCACCACCAACATCACCATCATCACCACCCTCACCACCCTCACCATCCTCACCATCATCACCATCATCATCATTACCACCGTAGAAATAGCAGCAGTAGCAGTAGCCACCACATGAGAAGCGGAGCAGCTTGCATGGGTGGAGAAGAAGTGTGCAAAGGGGAGGGAGCCCTGGACTGGGAATCGGGAATGCGCTCTGCTCACAGTCCCTGTGTGGCTCTGGAAAACCACAACTCCTGAGCCTCAACATTCTCTCCTGTAAAACAGTGACCCTTAAAGAGAGGGCATTGAAAGTGGGGCCGGCGTCCCTGCCTAAGTTCCCTTGTGACCCTCAGGCATGATGGAAAGAAACAGAAACATTACTCAGGAGCCCATCCCTCCAGGTCCTCCCTCTTACAACTAAAATCCCCGGCAGTAACACAGTAAGTAAACCTAAGATGTGTCTGGAAGGTGGGAAGGCGGCAGGCTGCTGGGGCCTGGGGCGTGGGCAGCTCCCTGGGCTTCCTTATTGTCTCCCATGGATCCCCAGCAGGGCTCCAGAGACGCCTCCAGCCCAAGATCTCCAGCAGGCACAGACAGAGCACTCGCGATAAATCCTGGTCCTGCTGGGCAAAGTGTGGCCCAAGAACAGAATTCATTTTAGGGAGCATCTTCCCTCCTCCAGCCAAATGCCAGAAAACCACACCCAGCTGTGTGTTTCCAGTGGGCAGAGTGGGCAGGTCATCTAATCTACCACTCCACCCCAGTCCCACGGTCTCCCCGCTTCCAGGGGCTCCATTTCCCCTGCTGGGGTAGTGTTGGTGAGGTCCAGAGGTGAACTGAGCCCCAGTCCCTCCCAGCGGCAAGGAGACTGAATGAGCTGGTGTGAGCAGGGTCTTCGCATTGCTGCACCCCCACCCCTGGTGTCTGGGGTGCCCAGCAGGGATGGGCCCCGCAGCTCCGCCCAGCATAAATAAGACGGAAGGTGGCAGTGGGAGGGGGGCTAGCTGACACTCCGCCCCCCAGCAGTGTCTGCGGGGCCCTGTAGGGAACTGAGTGTTCACCACCACTCAGAGGCAGCGAGGTGATGTTTGTAGGTGCTTGCATTCCCCAGGAAGGTTTAGTGCGGCTGAGAGGCGAGCTGAGCCTCCGCTCCGCCTGTCTGAAAGCTGCGTGAGTTGCTGGGGAGGTGTCAGTGGGCCCGTTGCCGAACCCTGGCCCGCCCACCGGCCCAGCCCTCGTGCTCCACCTCGACCAAGGGGACTGCCTGCTACAAACAGATGAAATAGGATCCAGAGTTCCAGGCTCTACAAAACGTCTGGGGAAAAACAGAAAATCAGTCATCCTACCGAGAACCAGGAAAATCGTAACGTGGATGAGAAAAGACAATCAACAGATGTGATCGCTGGAGCAGATGGAGGTGAATCCGATGTTGGAATTATCTGGGCAAAGGCTTTCGAGCAGCCGTCGTAAAAAGGGGTTCAGCAAGCGATTACGAATTCCCTTGAGACAAAGCAAACAGGAAACTCTCAGCAAAGAATTAGAAGTTACAGAAAGAGAGCCGAGTGGAAATCACCAAACTGAAAAGCACAGCTCAAGTAAAAAGAAATGTGTTGGAAAGGCTCAACACTGAAAAATACAAAACATAGTCGGATTTGTTTAGCTGGAAAAGTTTTGAAATAGAGTGTGTTGACAGAGGAGAGGATCACCGGCTTTCAGGACAGGTGGATAGAATTTGTCCAACCTGAAGACAGGGGAAGCAGACTGGAAAATGAACAGAGTCGCAGGGGCCCGTGGGACAGTAAGAAAACAGCAGACTTTGGTGTCCCTAGAGACCCAGAAGGGGAGAAGAGGAAGTGGACTTTAAAAACATAAGAAATACTAGCACCAACCTCCCCAGGTTTGGCCAAAGACACGTGCACAGATTCAAGAGGCTGGATAAACCCCAAACAGGGTAAATACAAAGACAGCCATGCCAAGCCACGTCGTAATTAAACTTCTGGAAACTGAAGACCATGGAAAACTCTTGAAAGCAGCAGGGACAAACGACACACGACCTGTAGGGGAACACCAGTCAAATAACAGGATTTTTGATCTGGCCCCCCAGAGGCCACGGAGAAGGAACCAGCATTCGTCAACTGCTGAAAGAAAACGGCTAACTGTGAATTCTGTGCCCAGTGAAAACACCCTTCAGGGATGACAAGGAGGTAAAGACTTGCTCAGGGAATTTGTCCCTAGCAAATCGATCCTTCAAGAACTGCTAAGAAAGTCCGCTAAACAGAAAGGAAATAGGAGAGGGCAGCTTGGAACCGAAGTTCTAAGGGCGGAAGGACATGGCATCGGGCCAAAGTAGCGGTGAGCATGCTAGACTATCCTCGTGAGTTTCTGAAATCACTTGAGGATTGAAGGGAAAACGTAAGACAAGTCTATTTAAAAGCTGGCAGGATAAAGTGACTTAAACACACTCCACTTCAAGCAGAAAAACATTACTCCCAGTGGGTGGTGGCGGCGGCCCAGAGCAATCACCAAGAAGGCAACACAAAGCAATGTCCCTAAAACCTTATCAATAAGTCGAGATGGAAGCCTGCAAGGTGTTCAAGTGACCCACGGGAGGGGTTAGCCAGACCAGGAAGCCGAATGCTGAGACACGGAGGTTTGCAGCAGCGAAAAGGCTGATTCACAACGCACCAACCAAGGAGAAGGGAGACCCAGTCTCAGCTCTGCCTCCCCAAAGCCGGGGGTTGGAGGTACTTATAGGATAAAGGAGCAGGGTGGTCTCAGGTGTGGGGCAAGGCGATGGGAGGTCGGGAAGGGGTGAGATAACCGCTGTTCTGTGCAGGTGTGTCTGAGTTACTGCCTCCTCGTGGGACACATGTGCAAAAATGGCGGCTCTTAGCATGACCGGACGGGGGAGTGTTTGGTCCTCTGACGTCAAAGGCTCATTCATCAAACACCTGCTCAGCCCCGCTTTAGGGTCCGTGGTCCCAACCAGTCTCAGCCAGCTTGGGCTCAAACTAGGCACAGCTGGTTCCAAGCTCTCGGCCAGCAACTCCCGCATCTTACTGTTCGGGCTGCGTGGAAAGGAAGTGCAGCTTGCAACAGAATAGCTAAGGCAGCGCAGGCAGGCGACAGGAGGGGTTTATAACCAGGTGAGAGGTAAGTTCGAGACCTGCTGTTAGTCACCAGCCTGTTTGCCCTGTGGGGCGCGGTGACAAAGGGAAGAGAGGAGAAACGGGAACGAGAAACAGGCGAACAAGCAGAAAACAGCAGAATGGAACTCATTGCTGTAAATGTGAACCGTCTGCATCCGCCGATTAAAGGGCAGAAATTGGCGGGGCTTTTCAAATGGCCCACGACATGCCGTCTTCAGCACACCATACACACAGCTCAAATGTGACATAGTTTAAGGGTAAAAGGCTGGGAAAAGACACGCCAGGCCAACATTAAATGCACACCAGCACACGCGATTCAGATCGACGGCTTTACCTCCTTCAGGCTGAATTTCTTTAGGAAAATGGTCTCAAAGAACATTTTTCCCTCCACCTGAACTACATCCCCCCCAGCCTGTGTCTCCCCGCCTTTCCGCACGTGCTCGCAACCTGTAAACACGCACATTCACGCACGTGTGTACCACCAACGTGCACGGTACGCTTGAAAAAACGCCCCTTTGTCAGAAAAGGGGGGATTCGCTTTACAAAGGCGTCTCTGAGTTCTCCACCTCTCTCCTAATAATATTTTGCGAGAATTCCACCCCCTCAACGTGGAAAAATTCCCTTGATGCATAATTTATTCGAACATGACTTTGTTGATGGCCCTGAACTTTGTCTCCAGCGCTCACCCCTACACGATGCTGTAAACAGCTTTGAAAGGAAAAACAGACAGACACAGCGCAACGATCAAGGAGAGGTGCTGACGCTCAAACTCCCGCCAGGGCAGAGCCCTCACAGAGGCCTGAACGCACGGCCGCCTCCGCCCCTGCCCGGCCCCCCAGCCCGGGACGGGGCCG